ATAATGTGGGGGTCAATCTCACTATTTGTTGGTAAAAGAGTAGCCCAAGAGTTGGCGGTGGGTGGTGGTGACTAGCTGCCTTCCCCCTAGTCTTACACTGCTAAATTAGGGATGGCTAACGCAGATAGTCCTCGTGTAGCTTTGCGCGAAATTCAAAACAAATAAACAATTATGAAATGCAAATATGTTTTATAATGTGTGGTTAACACTCTATGCTAAAAAATTGTTCTAAATGTTTGGTAAAATGAAAAACAAAATTATAACATTTAAAGTATACAAATAATGTATTTATTACACCCGTTACTTTAAATATTCATAATTTCAAACGATCCAAATGAGCTTTGTTTAGTAGACTTCAGACTAAAATATTCTGAAATGATAAAATATTTTCATTTAGCTGATAGATCTATGAATTTTGAAGGTTTTGGTAGGCAGTATGTAAGTCATTGTTTAATTTTAACGACGAGTCTGCCTTGGAAGGAATGTGTTTCGGTGTATTTGCGTATGCAAGTGTAGTAAATACAAACTGAAATAACCCAACTGGTCGATTTGGAGACAATTTCACTCATACAGCTCTCTGTTAAAAGTGAACATTATAACTCTAAGCTTTAATCTTGAAACTTTATTAATATTATTATTACCATTTACGTTGCTTTCTTACCTTCCACAAAATAACACAACAGGGTAGATAGTATATATTTTTGCACCTAAAGCTGCAATACCTATCATGACGACTGGGTCCTTTGCATTGTAAGACTCCAAGATGTCGCTTGTCACGTGGGAACCAAAGGTTAGATATCCTGCTGAAGAAGCGACTGAATAAGCGAGCATGCACATGCTCATAGCCACCAGTACTGTCCGAAGAAAGTTAGACACCCGTCTATCGGCTAAACAGGAGTATATAGGGACGCTGCTCATATGGCACTGAAAAAATTGAACGACAAGTACCTTTACAAACTCCGTTCTAAAGACACATATTATAATACTGAATATTCTGCTGGGTTTCTGATATGTGTTTGTTTGTGTTTTTCAGATGTTGGAATTAAACAAATTAATTAAGACCTAAATATCTGCATCATAAATAAAGAAATAAATAGATTAATACTAATTTCACCTTTGTAAATAAATAAATAAATAGCTTTGTAAATAAGCTATTTTGATATTCAGTATTGTCTCCAGTAAAGATTCTCAAATAACCAACCACGTTTGATTTGTCGTATTATTCAAAAACCTATGGATTATCTTAGAAAGAATATACATTTAAGTACTTTTGTACAATCTATACTATCCACTTTTCGACACACTGGCTCTTGAATATCGTTGTTTTAAAAAAATTGGCATTACATGATCCAAACCTTAAAGCTCCATGATTAGATTTTAAATGAAATAACATTATCTTAATGTTAAACATTTTGGTATCACCTGGTAACCAAAGCAAATGGTGGGTACCACCTGGAACACATCCGTCCACACTGTAGGGCTTGTTTTCACCAGACCTGGCGTGTAGTTTCCGACAAAGTACTCATATATCATAAGAAAGATCACATACAACATTGCTAAAACTCCAAAAGAGCTGAAAGAAGAACAAGAGAAGAGTGTAAAAGTATTTGATACAACGACTGTCTTTGTTTGTAGTATACATTAACTATACTAGAGATACTTCCACGGAGACATTTTAAACTAACAAAATTGTTTACTGGCCAATGTTTCAAATAACTGTTTCTTCTGAGATAAGACTGAATAAATAATTAATAGGAAAGATGGTCAGGTAGTTTTTTTATCCTCTAGTTTATTCTCTAACATGATAACTTTGTCCAGGATTAACACTTAATTTGAAGACGTTTTTCATTTCTCAATTTAGGTTCAGTTGATGTTTAACAAGCCAGAATTCTTTGGATTCGAACTATCTTTTGTGTTATCTACAAAACATCCATCAGTATATCTCATCCCCAATGAACCTCTGCACTTTATATATTTCACAACTGGTATTATTGAAAGCTCAGTTTATCCATTCTATAGTTGTGTGTTAAACAACATAAATAAATTATAAATACTAGACTCAAGTATCTATAGTTTCCGGTAAACATCCACATGAAATTGATATTAAGATAGATTACTTATTTTACCTCGAATACTTTAAAAAATCTATCCTTTTGGGGAAAGCCAGTGGTAATATAATGCAGGTGGAGCTGGCGACAACTGTGAACTCCCTTCTCATGTACCAATAATGACAGAAGTTCCTTCCATATAATGACGACAAAACTGTAACAAAACAAAATAATTTTATATCTTAGTGTTATTTAAGAAAAATTCAAACACCTTTGAAAGACTGGTCCTTCTTTTCAATAAGCTCCTGAAGGAAACAAGACTACACTTCGAAAAAAGCTGTAAGAAAATACACTGCGCATAAAAGGGAGAGGAGAAAGCTATTGCATTGTTCCTCATAAATCACATATGTTTTGTTAAAATATACGTTTTGACTTATTTTTCACATCCCTCTTCAACATTTATTTCAGAGAAGAAGAATAACATTAGCAATATACAAGTTTATTTTTACAGTGTTACGAGCATTGTTCATTTTGTCAAATTGGAAGAAAATTATACATAAAAAAAGAAACGATATGTTTAGAATAATGTGAAGCTATCCCTTAAATATTTTTTAATTACGTAGCCAATCATTGGCAGACAAACAGATAAAATTACCTGTATCAAACTGGTCTCCGATTACGATGACAAATGTTACAGAAGCTCCAAATCCAAAGAAAATGATCAAAACAGAGCAAATTCTTCTTGTTCTTTCCCCATAAATACTCCGGACTACTTCTTGGTAGGTAGTACTTCCGTTGACATCCGAGCAATAAGCCAGAGTTAACAAGGCTGATATCACAAGTGCCACCAAAATCTGGAGCAAGAGCAAATCTCCCAATTAATTAATTTTATCTGAGATCACCTTCTCTTTTTTTTAATTACAAACGAAAACATGAATAATTGATACTGTTCTTAACAATCTTTTATCTGAGATCACCTTCTCTTTTTTTTTTAATTACAAAGGAAAACATGAATAATTGATACTGTTCTTAACAATCTTTGTAACGTCGTACATTATATAAATAGCAAAGTTACATAAGCTTTTTTTTTTACATATTCTTGTGAGAGTTGCATACCATGATTAGTTTTTAAGAGTTTTGAATGTATCTTTGGTATATCAATATTGTAAAGATTGTCTGTGCTTACATAACGTTAAAATATAAACTGTAATAACTAAAATATAAGTTTTGAGCGATGATGGTTGTTTTTGTTATTTTGTTAGCGAAAAGCTACACAATGGGTTCTCTGCGATCTGTCTATCGCTGGTAATCGAACCTCGGATTTTAGCATTGTAAGTCCGTAAATTTACAGATGACACACCGGAGGACAAACGATGAGGGCACTACTCATACAAGAAATAAAAATATTTTATGGAATAAGGATTCTATAGAAAAACCTAGTAAATACGAACCACATACTTTATTTTTTGGTAGTCTATTATTGAATCAAAAGTAACAATGATCATTGATTAAACAAACTTTTAAAACCGCGGTGTGGGAATACGAAAAGAGGCAAATGGCAAATTACAACATTTCAACAAGTTTACTTGTCATCGTCAATTATGATGTATTAGTGAGTGTTGAAGAAAATACGACAGCTAAAGTAAACAAATCATAAAGCAGCTAGAATATCTTTGGTGAATAAACCTAGTGAGGATCCAGGATATTTGTTTACAGAGGCCACCCACACTGACCTCTACGCATCTTGGAACTTAGCTCATACCATATATCAAAAAACAGGCATTGTTAATTATACGACTAACCACATGCAATTTCCAAGATATTCTGACTTCAGAAATTCAACTTATAAAACCGTGGTTTCTTCAAATCAACAAATTTCCTAGAATTGTCATTGAAAAGACAATTACTAAAACTCATAAACATGATCAATAAGGTGTCCCAGATAATTTCAATCTATGCAAAGACATCAATACTACTTTTTATCCTACGTTCCCGATCTTTTTCAAGATCTAAACATATTATAGCTTCATCTGTGTAAAACATACAACATTAATGATACGTTAAGATTTAATTTTACTTTTGGCACAAAACTGGGCAGTATTCCATCAAAAAAAAAAACATATTAGCAATATTGTTTATAAATGCACATTCCAGGGCAAGCTCAAAACTCGAATACCTGCATAAATCCGAGGAAGTAATATTGATTCTTATCACGTAAAGCACATTTTTGACGTTTCTTTTTTGTCCCCATTGGCACAGCGGCATGTCTGCGGACTTACAACGCTAGAAAGCGGGTTTCGATACCCGTGGTGGGCAGAGCACAGATAGCTCATTCTGTAACTTTGTGCTTAATTATAAGCAAACAAACAAACTGTTTTCTTAGTTCAAAGCTACGTAATGGGTTATCTGCACTCTGTCTACCTGGGGAATCGAACCCAGAATTTTAGCATTATAAATCCATAAACTTAACGTTAACCCACCGGAGGCCTTTTGGATACACAAGTATTGTTAGGCGAATAATTTTGTATGCTTTTTGTTAAGTAGATGTTGTCCTGTGTAGTACTTGCTTATTTTAAAGACGGTTCATTCAGTGATATTTTGAAAACCATGGAAAGCGAAATAATGAAACTTATTTTGAAACAAGTTACTTTATAAAAAACATGTTAGTTTTTGTGCTTAACAAAAATGTAAGATTTCAGCCTGTAAACTTTCATCCATGGTTGTATTAAAATACTAGACATCACACTGAAATACATATTTAATTTAAGTTAACAGTTTGAAGATACCTTACGTGGATTACATCTTCCAAATGCGTGTTTCATAATACAGAATTTTTACACACGGAAAAAAAACAAACAAAAAACAAGTAAACTCACCGCCTGGACACAAATAGCAACAAAAACGCCCCCAGCGCGATCATAGGCTTGCGGGAAGTTGAGCAAGCCGGCTCCAAGAGCCACGTTTATGACCATTATAGAAGCTGCATACCAACTTGTTCCTATTGAATGAAATAATTACAAAAAATATCTACTTATAAATGGCTTGAAAAGTAAGGTAGTGTAGTATACTAAAATGTATATAGTTAAGTAGACAAATAAACCTGTATTTCATGTTTGAATAATAGTATGCATATATTGATTTTCTTTTGTTAAATAAAATATACTACTTCATTGTTATGTTTTTTTCTTACGATTCTATGAAAGAATAGAGACTCTAACGCATATAATGCTCTCTCTATATATATATCGTACAACATAAACGTTTTGTAGTATCTTGAAACTGAAGTGAAATTTCCTAATACAACTGTTTCTTCTTCGAAGAACTGTCAAATGTAAAAAAAATGTAATATCATTACAGTCACGGAGGGTGACTTTATGGAAATGCTTTATATGTGATGCATCCAGGAAATCTTAATTTCAAAAATATTTTTCAGTTAAAGCTGTTTCATAATGCTATTAAGTTGTATTAAATTGTGTTTGTTCTTCTTATGTTTGTCCCCCGGTTGGGTTTGTTTGTTTGTTTTTTGAATTTCGCGCAAAGCTACACGAGGGCTATCTGCGCTAGCCATCCTTAATTTAGCAGTGTAAGACTAGAGGGAAGGCAGCTAGTCATCACCACCCAGCGCCAACTCTTGGGCTACTATTTTACCAACGAATAGTGGGATTAACCGTCACATTATAACGCCCCCACGGCTGAAAGGGCGAGCATGTTTGGTGGGACGGGAGATTCGAACCTGCGAGTAGAGCGCCCTAACCACCTGGCCGTGCCGGGCCACCCCCGGTTGGGTCAGCTTAAGTTTATGGACTTAGATTGATACAATCAGGAGTTCGATTCCCCCTTGGTAGGCACAACAGATAGCCCAATGTGGCTTTGTGCTAAAATAAACGAACTCTTAAGTCAAAAGTTTCACAACAAGCAGTCCACAAAGTTGAAATTATTCTAAAATACAGAGCGTTACGATCGATAAGTTGCCTTAATAATAAAAGGTCATATATTAATAAATCTCACAACACCAGATTTATAATCAAGTTCAAGCTGAACTATAACATAGATATTACTGATCAACCATTTTTCAGAAAGGGCCTGTTAAATACCTGTATATTTGTTATGCTAATTTTCACCCAAGCTGTTATCAACGGGTGTCATTTAGCATTAAAGCTAATTTTTAAAGTTATTGAAAAATCAAAAATTCAAAAACTGGTTCCGGGCAAGACTATGAAATACATACACATTTCATTTTCAGATTGCATACTTAATTGTGGCTAATTGTTATAGCATAAGATTCTAACTGTGGATCACAGAAATGAGTTACTGCGGTTGTGCTACTTTAGTTTTCTAGTTAACGAACTTCTGAAAACCTTTGCTAAAACTTAGGGTGAAGAAACCTGAGAGTATAGAAACACACGATATATATAGATGTAAAAATAGGAAAGACACGCAGGTGTCGCAAAAAACAACATTAGAACAATTTTGTTATGTGGTAAATTTCTTCTTAAAAACTTCCAAGAACCGAACTCGAATCTTCGTCCTCTACCAACTACGTTAAATGGTTAACTTTCTAAGGTACTTTTAAAGAACTCAAACTAAATTACCACAGTTGTGAGTATATGGAGTAGTTTATAAACACGCTAACTTTTACTCTTATTTATTCATTAAAAACTTACCTGTTTTCTCTGTTTGTGTCTTTGTTTGAAGTTTCGTCCCGCACCGATTTCTGTTCAGGTCATGGGAAAATCCTTCTAATGAATATTTTTTCAAAAGTGGTTCAGTTTCTTTTGGCAGGAAAATATCATTAGTAATATTGAATCCGATTTTACATTCAACGTCTGAGCTTTTATCTTTAACAGACATTACGTCAGTGACTGAATAAAATTAGGTAAGGAATTGTTAAAAATCAGACTCTCTTACAAGCTGAATATGAAAGCTTGAGGAAAGTAAAATCAGTAAGTCATTTTCAAGTTTAGTCCTCAGTTTATTTCGTATTAAAATTGTGAAAAGCAGGAGCAAATGGTGAAATATTTCCAATCGGAAACATAAAGCAGATGTTTGCATAACAATACACTTCAGTTTAGTGTTATAATCAGTAATTTTAACACAGAACTTTCTGGATCAGAAGGTTTATCTAAATTTGTGAGGCCGTTAGGGAATGATTCAAGAAAATGTAATGAAATGTAATATTATACAAGGCATCAAGTCAAGTCTGGATATTAATTGGCCTCTTTGACTCAGGAACATCGCACTATCGTGACTTAAGAACCTTTACACTCATTTTTATATGCAATTTGAGATTATCTGCAAAGTTAGGAATTTTTATTTTTCGACCTCTCCTGACAAATGATTGGCTGTCTTTAATACGTGTCGTCGTTGAATATAAAAACTGATCACGTGGAAACCATGCATGCTTGCCATCGTTACAGGAAGAGGTGCGTGCGCTTAGTAATAACTTTCAATTAATTATTTTTTGTTTTATTAACCTAATCGGAATTAATCTATATTTGAATTATGTTATGTTAAACAGAGGTCTGAGTCGAATTTATGAATGTAAAAGTCACTTGCGTTACCAATAAATAAATATAGATTCGTCGTGTACGTAGTTATATATATTTATATAAATATAACATAATATAGACACGACTTTCAGTTTTGTTCCGTTCCACTTTGAACTGAAATCTAACAACGATTTTTTTAGTATCCTACAACTGCTTTTAAGTTTCTTAGAAAATCAAACATTTCCTCCAGTCTTTCAGTACAATTTCTTCTTGCATTTATAATACTTTGATAATCAAGTAATTAGCTAGCTAAAAATCGTGCTATATTTTTTTAATTTATTTATCTGTGATAGTAATTTTGGAGAATAAACATACTGTTATTTGCAGCACGTTTAATCCCAGTGGCTCAGCGGTAAGTCTACAGGCTTATAACGCTAAAAACCGGAGTTCGATACCCGTGGTGGTACAGCACAGATAGCTTATTGTGTAACTTTGTGCTTTTCAACTAGAACTAACCAACTAGTTATCTTTAATAAAAAAACAAAAAAAACAAATTGGTTAATTCATTATAATTATTTAGTTATCAACATTGATTGTTTCCTCACAACAAAATCTAGAATTAAAAAAATGCCAGTGGTCAAAATGTAAATTTTAACTATATTTTATATAACCTATATCGTTAATTTTTTATAGATTATATACGCAAGAAGATCATCAGAATGTGTAATTTCAACTTCAAAACTTTTTTTCTATAATTCCAAAGGATAGTCAACATTATATTGATATTAAGAAACAAGACAGTATTTCTAGAACCTCTCAGTAAACAATATTTCCATAAATAATGATATAGTACTACAATACTACCCTCCTCTAATTCCTCATATTTATTATTTTCATAATTATTAAACTTTGCAGTTCTTATCTTATACAGAAACCACGTTAGTTAGAAGGTCTTATATATCTTTGTTAATGACGATAAAGTCTCGCAATCTTTAATATTAGATTAACATTAGCATCGAAACTTTTACTAATTCCAGGCACTTTGTTATTAGATTCCTGGCGGCCCTCGCAATCTTAGGGTCGCGGGTTCGAATCCCCGTCCCAACAAACATGCTCGTTCTTTCAGCCGT